ACCTGCGCGCCCGACCCCGCCGGACCCAGGGGCAGGATGGGGGCGGCGGCCAGAGGAGACGCTGCAGGAGCCCGGGGCCCGGGAAACCAGATCCCTGGGGAGCAGCGAGGAGGGAGGTTTGGGGACCGACGCCTTCTCACGGAGGAAAACACGCCTGGAAAATGGAGCTCCCAAGGAGATGGCGCTGGAAGTGGAGGCTGAGTGCAGAAGGAAGGAGCCCGGGGCAAGGGCTGACCGCGTCCTCCTCCTGCCCCGCGGTGCCCGGCGGCCCGAGACCGTCTGCTCGGGACACGAGGGACTGGGTCGTAGGAAGGGCGGGAGCAGCCCTGGCGGGAACCGATCCGCTCTGCTTTGCGCCTGTTCGCCCAGTCCTGGACACTGTCCGTAGGGCCTGAGCGAAGTGTTTGTGCCCCGGAGGTCCGGAGTGGCGTGCTGAATCGGTGGGGGACAGTCCCGGGGCCGCGGTCCAGTTGCGGGATTCCGCCTGGCATTTCTCCCCCAAGCATCACCCTCGCCCACAACCCCGAGCTAGTGTGGACCATTGCAGACCCCAAAACTCACAATCGGGATGGAGGAAGACTAGGGGAACAGTGGGCTGAGCTTAAAACCCAGACTCAACACCTGCCCTAAACGGGGAGAATTCAAAGTCTGACCTCAGGTGGGCTGGCGCCGAGAAGCTCGCTGGGAGGCACCTCTTTTATCTGAGCCTGGGAGGCAGCCATCTTCACCACTGTAATCTTTGTTTTGGTTGCCCCAGGCACACACCTGTAAACTCTGAAGCATAGTTTCGAAAAATGTCCTGTCCACAGGCTTGGAGGTTTGTTTGTCAGACTTGATTAAATGGGAAAACGAGTTAAAATTTTGTCATTGATCTCAAAGTTGTTATTATTTTATTTGCACTTAATTTACATATATATTTTTTTTTCAAACGTTGGCAGAAACTAGGCAGAAATAAGGAGAAAGGGTTACAGAGATTTGGCAAGAAATTCCTGCCAGGCCTCCAACCAGACTGACAATTTGAGGAAGAGTCTCAGATTATCCTCTGGTCTCCAGCCAGGGCCATAGCTAAACCATTCAAGACAAATGAGGATCACTTAAGTAAGCAAAAATTATAACAAGTAACAATTATCATTCACTGCAAGCCAGACACTGTGCTAAACACTTTACATGTATTAATTCACGTCGGCACAGCAACCTTTTATGTCATCCTTCCTCAGCTTTGTTCTAAATAGATTAATGTGCTGAGAGTGATATTGTCTGAACTCCACTTCCTTCTCCATTAGAAGGGAGAAAGTACACATGCATTTGAGTTGAGAAAGACAAGAGAAGGAATAGATGGGTTGGAGAATGCTTTAATCTATCTGCAAACAAACCATTCTGGAAATGAGTGTTTACTCCATTGTAGTTCTGCATCTGAAACTGTGCAGATGAAGATGAGGCTGACTGGAAAGTTAGTCAACAAACAGGAAAGGATTGTTACATTGACTTTATAGTTACTAAAACTGAAGCTCAAGTGGGTTATCTTCCTTCCCTGCGTCATGCAATAAGTAATGTTGAACCAAGACTCAACCCAGCTTTTCTGATTCCAAGTCCAGTTTTCTTTCTATCATTCCAAGCCTCTCTCTCTTTTACATATCATTGTCATACCCTTTACCCCCATGCAATACTAAGGACAGCTCATCTATTCCCAAGGTAAAGAAGAAACAGTTGATCATGTATTTACAGTGAAGAGCAAAAGACAAGTTTTTCTTTTATTCTTATTTCCACTTGCTGCTCTTCTTCTTGTTAGAGCAACACACAAGGTCAACTCTAGGAAATTAACACCCATTTTCAAAGAACAGAAGATACTATGTCCCAAGACTGCAATGATGGAAGAAACCAGCACATACATCTCCATGAATATTATCTGAGACTTGGGTGAAGTTCTCTGAATGTCTCTGGTGCATGTTCACTCTATTTTAGGACACAACTTTTTTTCTGGGACAGGGGCAGGCATGCTGGGGATTAACCCAGGGATATTGCTACCACTGAGACACATCCCCTGTTCTATTTATTTATTTACTTATTTACTTATTTTGGTACCAGGGATTGAACTCAGGGACACTCAGCCACTGAGCCACATCCCCAGTCCTATTTTTGTATTTTATTTAGAGACAGGGTATCATGGAGTTCTTAGCGCCTCACCATTGCTAAGGCTGGCTTTAAACTCGAAATCCTCCTGCCTCAGCCTCCCGAGCCCAGCCCCTCCCCCAGTTCTTTTAAAATTTTTTATTCAGACACAGGTCTCACTATGTTGCTGAGGCTGGTCTCAATTTGCAATCCTCCTGCCTCAGCCTCCAGAGTCACTGAGATCACAAATGTGCCACCATGCCTAGATTAAGACACAACTCTTCTACTAGTTCTACTCACTCTGGCTGTTAAATGAAGCCTTAGGCAATTTCTTTAATCTCTTGAGCCATTTTCTGTCAAACAGCTAAAAAAAAAATTCTTAGAATGGTATTGGACAAGTAGATGAGATAATGTCCTGCTTCTTTTCAATTTGTACATCCATATTAAAGATATCATCATCATTATCAGCCAAGAATCACCCAGCCAGAGTTATACTAGTTATTCTTTCTTTCTAGAGCCTTAAAATACTTGCAATTGAAAATCCTGTCAAGAGACTACCATAAGAAAGGGACAGTGGAGAAGGAGAAGCATATTAATTTTCTCATTTCTGAGAACAGAACATGAAGGGAAAGAATGTGTGTTATGCTTATGACCCCTGTGACTTTGAGCAGACACATGAAAAACATAAACACATTCTGTGACATAATAATGATAGCTTGGATGTATACAGTTTTTATCTTCCCAAGACTTCAAAGTCGTTTCATATATATTATCTCATTTATCTTCTCAGCTTCCCTGTGGAGCAGTAAAGACAGATATAATTATCCCCAAGTTGCAGATGGGGTGGGGGATGGGGGACAAGAAATAACAGAAGTTATTGCTCTTAGTGGTAACACAAATCAGACTGTAAAAGTCCCAGCCCAATGTACTCTTCAATAGCTCTGGTACCATGCTTATACATGCGCACACATATGTGTCTGATTATGATTTTCCTTCAGAATTTTTTCCTCCTACAGTAGCTATG